TTCCCCTAACCCTTAATAACCCTGGAGAAGGAAATGGCAACCCACTCCAGTATTCTTGCTTGGAGAATTCTATGGGCAGAGAAAGACTGGACAGGCTACAGTCCATGGGATGGCAAAGAGTCAGACGTGACTGAGCAACTAACACAACCCTTAATAAAGTTACAGAGAAGAATCTACTGTCAAGTCTTTATATCTGTTTCTTCGGTTCTTTTACATTCTTATTTCTCAAAGTAATTTTGTGTTGCCTTTATAATTTATTTATATTTAAATTTTGGTATGTCAAGATTTAGTCTTCCTTATCCTTGCAATATAGTTATGCCACAATCATGATTAAACTAATATTTGGCATGCACATTAATGTGACTAATATTGCTCACTTTGAGACCAGTGCATATTTCATGGAGTTCTTAGAGAATTTTTCCCGCTAAAATTATTAATTACTTTTACAATTTGCTTAGCTTTCTATGTACCTATTCCTAAGTGTTCCCAAAATTTCCACATGTATTAAACCCTCTGAAGGCCATTTTTCACTTAGCTAGATACTAACTCCGGTCAATTCCTTTCTTCCCCTTCCACACTAACATCCACTAACTTCCCCTTCCTCACTTATCATCCACCTGTAGTTAGAACTCTCAGTATTTGACCAGCTTTTTCCATGTATTCTCTCTGCCCACTGCATAACTACTGTCTTTAGAGTCTCCTCATTTCATCATTGATATCCCCACCATTCTTTTCTCTACCCTTCTTGTCTCTTGGTTCCCAAGTTGTATATGTTTGTGCATGTAGGGTGGTCACTGTATGCGTGAGTGTGGTTTATTCTCTATGTTGGTGGAACATACCCTCAAGTAACTTCCAGATAGGTAGCATGGAGACCTAAAATTTTTTGAGAACTAGACATCCCAAACTGATTTTATTCAACCCTTATACTTAATGGGTAGTTTGTAGATAGAATTTTAGTTTATATTCTCTTCCACTTGGAATTTCAAGGGCATTACCCATGACTCTCTTTATAGTGTCTATTATTGCTGTTGAGACACTATATGAATTCTTATCCTTCCTCTTTTATATGTAATATATTTTAACTTATATATTTTAATGTATTATGTAATATATTTTAAACAACTATAAACTAGTTGTTTATAGAAACATTTGGAATCTTCTTTGTAGCTCCTGCTGTTTCAAGTATAGTAAGTTTGTGGAAATTTTAAAAATCAGATAGAACAAGATTTAAAGTTGTTTTATAAGCTGCATAATGCCTATAATGTAATTGATATTAATCTTAGTTAACAGGCATAATTAGCAACAATGTTGATTATTTTCCTTTCCAATAATTGCAGACAGTTTTATAAATTTAAAATATTTTTCATGCCAAAGTGCTCTAACCATTAATATTAAAAAAGGATGGAAAGTACAATGGGCAAAAGTCAGGAGATACTAGATTATATATCAGTAGATTTTAATCTTTGCCATTTAATTAGTTGACTCTGGGTGAATGGTTTCATTGTTCTGGGCCTCTGTTTCTATAACTTTAAAGTGGAAATCATTATTCTATATTTACATCCCCCACTGTTTCATGAAAATGAATCAGAAAATGCATTCATGTTTTAAAGGCATTTAGAACAAAGTAAAACTATGTATCTGTAGTATTTATACGTCTTTATTTTGTTAATTTTCCACATCTATGCTAAGAGAATATTCTTGGTTTATATTCATTCACTACCCTGTACTATGTTTTAAAGTCCTTATTTTGATTCAAATGCCTCTCTCTCATAAATAAATCAGAGCGCTAACTCCCAATGCAAATATTTAAGGGACTTCTAGGCAATGAAGACATTTCCAGAAAATATTAAAAACTGCCATTCCAGATATTAATTTCAGAAAGTCTAAAATGTTCTGGGCTTACATTTAGCAATTGCCAATCCTTTAATTTGTGCTTATGGCTAAGAAATGGTCAAGATATATTAAAGAAATTTAATTCATTTCTAGTGGTCAGTTAATAACCTCCAGTGATGAATCTGTCTCAGGTAAAGACCCTGAATTATTTTTTATTTCAATAACAGACTGTCTTTAGAATATGCTTTCTATGTTAAATTCCCAGTGAGTAATTGAGGACTAGAAATCATTACCACTGAATTTTAAACTCAGGCTATTTAGGAAAGCATAATAAGGTCTAGGAAAGCCATCCTTCATGGAGAGGAGGCATTACTATACAAGGGATCACATGAGAATTATTCTGGGAAGAAATGTGGTTTGAAACACTGTAATAAATATATATATATAATCTTTTCAAAACAAACTGGAAGATGTAGGACCCTGAAAACATCTTTTCTGTTGGAATGCCAAAGGGAAAAAAAGAGAAGCCATTTTAGAAAACATGAGTTTAAAAGTCTTGGGAAAAAGCAGGCCAGGAGTAATCACTTACATGATACAGGCGATGATAGGGAGCACTGTAGGCGGACTCTTTACCAGCTGAGCTACCAGAGAAGCCCCAGGGACAGTGGTAGCTAGCATATACTGAGTATGAGCCAGTCACAGTACCAAGTACCTTACACTATTTCCATCACTCCTTGCAACACCCACTCATGGTAGATACTATTGTTATTCTTACTTTTGTAGACTAGGAACCAGAGACTTGGAAAATTTGAGTACATTGTCTAATACCATACATATAAAAATAGTTACATTCACATTGACATTTAAAAATATATACCATGTCCATGAGTAAGAAAATATTACATGTAAAGGTGTCAATTTCCTCAAAACTGTATTAGAATTGTAGTATAATTTCAACAAATATTCATGTGGAACCTCCTTTGCTTCTCAACAAAGAGTTTTTTTAAAAAATTGAAAAATGGCTAAAAGCAGTCTAATTTAGAAAAACCAAAAATAAAACAAGGATAACAATGAGACAGGCACTGACAGATACAAATAGAATGAAAGGTCAACAAAATGTTCCATTAAGGCCATTACCAGACATGAATATTCTTGAAAACTCTGAATATGATTGATATGGTATTTCATAGTAGTTAGGAAAGGAAAGCTTATTACCTTATCACCTTGAATAAAAAAATTTACTTAATTCAATATTACCTTTCACACCACAAAAAAGCTAGAAGAAAACAGAAATAATTATGTACCTAGTATCCTCCATGTGGAAAAAGAATATTCAAGCAAATGATTAAAGAAGAAATAAATAAAATTATGAATATGACCTCACATATTTTGGAATGTAAGTTTAGGAATAAAAGTCAGGGATTTAAATTTCCATTTTAAAGGGCTTGGGCACAACCCTTTGTTCACATTTGTGTTACTCATACCCATGGATTGAACACCCAGGGATTGTGCTACAATCTCAGCTTCACCCCCGGTGCTTACCCTGGTGCCATTAACAACAGCATTTGCTGAGGGGCTCCTTGGATGTCCTAACAACATCTGCTACTCTGTTCTAGTTGGGGGTCTTTCAGAATGATTTTGTATTTTTGTCTCTCCAAGCTAATTTTTAAACAACCCAGTTGGACAAGGAAATTAAATTACATGACAATTTTACATAGAGCACTTGTATATTCTAATCTACAACCCCCTAGAGAGATAACTATCATTTACTCCATTTTCTTTTTCCCATTAGAGAAAATATTTGGAGAAAATTAAACAAACAAAACACTTTTTTGGTGTGTTTATGAAAACAAGACAGGACAGAGGACTCCAGTCCTGAGATCTAGATTTTTTTCTTGGTCAGGAAGTCATTTCTGTTCTACATTTGCCTCATAGACTTTGCAAAATATGTTCATACACTTAAGAAGGACTCATATTAATCACTGTTACAGTTACATGTATAGAAAGAGATACTTATATAGAATAGATGAGATACCAGTTAAAATGAGATTTGCATTATTTCTATATAAACCCTTATGCTTAATAAAATTTCCAATATTAAATCAAATCTTGTTCTCTTTCCTAAACCCCTGCCCTCCCCCCACCAACCACATCCTTAGGTTGACATCCTTAGGTGATGTGCTTTCACATACTTATCTGAAAATACTTGCGAGTAGAATTTAGCATATTACTAAAATGGTAGAAGTTTATTTGTTCTGGCCCATTGAAAAGGAAAATTGAGTGATCAAATTCAGGCTTCCAAAGATACTTAAGAGAATAACTGATTTATTAGGGTTATTTGTTCTTTAAATGCACACAGCCAGGCAAAGGAAGCCTCAAACAGAGTTGAGATCCTAACACCTCCTGCTAAAGCTTGTGAACATCTGGTTTAGGAGAATAAATGGGTCATGTCAGTCATTATATGTAGTGTACATGGATACCCATCAGCAAAGAATAACATAATTAGAAATTTAAGAAATGTGCAAAGGGCCAAATTGTCTATTTTGAGTGTATTAGAAGTTTTCAAGGTAAACTGGGAAAATACCAGTACAACTGGAAAGTCTAATTGATTTGATCTAAATCTTTAAAGTGGTCTTGCATAAGCTCTCCCAAGAAGTGCATATTTTATCTTGATGTATATCACTCTTTTGGATTGGATCTAAATGTCTTTGTCTTATATCCACTTCTAATTTAATAATAGCTACAATTTAAAGAATATTAATCATGTGCCATACATGGTGCTTATTTGCTCTTTACATTGTGCACTTACTTAAACTATGGGCATTCAATCATTCATAGCAGATATATTTCACAAAAATTACTCTTTTCCACTACAACTTAGATGAGAATTTCAGAACCTTTGATTGATCTTATATTCTGACACTGAATTAATCTCCTGCTAGGATTAAAATTTATGAGTCCGTGCTGTACAGAAGATGAAACATTATTAGAAAAAAATGACTAAGAGGAAAACAGATTTTTTAAAAATCAGAACTCATAATAAGTTGACTTGTTTAATAAATAGTACTTAGAAGTCAACATTAAAATTAAAACAAAAACATACAAACAAACAAATCTGTATAGCATACAGATTCAACCAAAATCCAGGATAGTAAATTTTAACTTACCTTCAGTGTCTGCTAGTCCTATGCCTACTCCTGTCTGTTTTATAGGCTCTTGCCCATTCTGTCCCATCTTTCCTCTGTTTAGAAAGGAAATAAAAGTTTATATACTTCAATTATGATCTTAAATGCAAATGTGAAGTCTAAGTTTGAAAAAATAGAATGTGACATTATATATTCAAACCTGCAACAAATTACTTGAATGGCATATATAAACATAATAAATTGATTACTATCATGTTAGCTTTAAAGTGGATATTTGTTCATTATTCTTATTTAGGCTAAACATTGTACCTCAAAATTCAGTGCTCTATTCATGGACTCGTTTATCAAAGACCAGACCATCATGAAATCTTCTAATTTTGTTTTGGAATGGGGATTTATTTTTTTTTTTTTTACCATTTTTAACTCAAGAAGGAGGAGGGTTTTTTTTGATCTACACTTTGTTATGATGAGTTGTATAGATCTTTTGGTGAGAAGGGAAATTTTGAATTGCATAACTTAAAATAATATTGAAATAATGTGGATGTTTATTTCTTTCAGATCCTTCCTGTGCGTAGCTTATTGGCTTTTGAAGTCATCCTGCTTGGTCTCTACTTCTGACTCTATGCTGTCATTTAAAGTAAATCTACTTCTGGTGAAGACTATTTCTTCTTTTGTAATTTAAGGATAGTAACATGAGTTACTCTTTGGTTATGAGAAAATCACATGAAACATGTATATAAGTGTTTAGCACAGTGACTGAAACAGCATAATATTCAATATATATAAAGGTCTGATAGGTAGTTGCATACATAATGGCTTTAGAATTCAGCCAAAGGCTGCAAACCATTTTTAGGTTTGGCCTTCAACTTCTTTTTGAAGGCCAAACAGATGAAGAACTCAGGATACTTTAAGCCCTGTGAGTTCAGAATATCGATAATGTAACAGCCAAAAGACTATAGGCACTTCTTATTTCTTCAGAGAAAAAGTTACATGGCATACAAAAGATTCTGAAGTTGCCCTTATATGTAGTTATATAAGATGTTCTAAAAAGATGGACTAAAAAGGTTTAAGGGTTTTTTAAAAAGGTGCTTGATCAAAGAAATGTCTTGATATTATACTTTCCAGACAGTAATTCTAACACAGCAGTATTTACTAACAATTCATTTTTATTCTCACAAAAATATTTAATTTGCCCAACGAGCAAAAATGTAACCATACTTATATCTTAAGAATCCAATTATATCTTACTTTGAAAACAGCTCTAAAGATCCTCTTATCATTTTACTGAAATGGTTCTGCACATAATGAAATAGGAACTGATGTAAATTCAAAAATTATTTTACTTTGAAAGCCATTACATTGTTCCAATATAACAATCCTAGGTCAAAGTTTTAAGCACATATTTTTATTTATTGATATTGTGAAGGATAAAGTTAGAAATGTTAGAAATATATATATATATAGTCTGAATCTGAATATGTACAAAAAAGTCTTGATTAAGCAATGCATAAAACTTCAACTTATGTAATTACTTCAGTGAGATTCACGACAAAGAGTTGATAAATTAAAAAAATTAACTTTGCTGTATCTGCTACTATTACACAGGGAGAAAGCCTAATAGTAGCAATCTTACCTTTAGCAGTACCCTATATTAGTAGAGCTAGCCAAAACATAACCTGTTATGGAGCCATACTCAGTTGAAAGTGAGAAACATTTTAGCAGTGCTTATCTAGTAGATCAGAGTGCTAAAAAATTACTATTCTATTCTGTGCCAGACTTTAACAAAATAAATATAATTTTTAGTAATTGTAACAAGAATTTTTTGGATAATTTTTTATTTGGTCTTGAGGTTTAGATTTAATATTTTAATGATGCTATTCAGCTGCAGTACTTGCTTCTATTGAAAACTGATTTTAACATTTGGTATTTAGACAAAATGTATATTAGGTGCATTTCTAAGATTATACAGAAAACTTGCAGCACTGTGAAAGCTAAATGAAGTACAAAGGAAATATAACTGTGGGTCATATAAAGGATGCAATTTTTTTTGAATTCCCAATAAATAACCTTCAGCTCAGAACATTCTGACTGCACAAATGATAATGTTTATTTGTTAAACAATCACCAAGTAGTTATTGAACATTTATGCTAGCCCAAGCAATAATTGCGTTAGATACAAAGGGAGATAAAAGAACCACCAAATACTGCTTCTTACATATCTCCTGTAATGCTTTAGAAAAGAGAACTTTCTTTGGGCTCATATGGCAAAACAATAGTTTCCTAGGCAGTTTGAAAAGCTTTTGATTTACAAAAGAAACAAGAAAATGGGAAAAAACCAAAATTGAAATGTGGTCTGTAGATTTAAAAAAAATCCACTTTAGACATTCAGATATTGAGGAAATAATGTACTTTATGCTCTGGAAGTTATAATTTGTCATCAGTGTTAAATTATATATCTTGAAAGGTACAGATAAACTGAAAGGTACAGATAAATTGGAAGTGATGTGTGGTGCAAAACCTTTACTGACATACGATATTTGGAGACAGGAATGCAATGACTGTGGAAATTCTCTTCTGTTAAATTGGATCATCAATGTGTGGACCTACGAGATCGTATGCCTTTTAGAAATCATTGGCAATAAAAATGAACTGATTAAATACAAGTCCATAGAATCCACAACCTACATCTTAAAAAAGTAGATGGAGAGATAATCCAATACTGAGTCAAGTAGGAAAAACATATCCTGAAAATCACAAAATAAACATATTTTTCACTGTACAAATCTATTTTACCCTATTATTTTGCTTTTATAAACTTGAGCCATCATCTAAATATTAGAGCTCTTCTGGGGATCAAAAGGAAAGATTTGAAAAAAAACCTTGACATTAAAACAAAGAGAAGTAAAGGTTCCACTCCCAGAGAAGATTTCACTCAACAAAAGAAAATGAAAAAGACCCTTTAACAAGGGCCCAGGCCAGTGGTTCACAAACTCACTCTGTAAAAGGCCAGACAATGAAGGATTTGAATGGTCTCTGCTGCAATCACACAATTCTGCCCCTAGAGCACAGACAATATTAGGTAACACATAAGCAAGCTGGTGGGGCCGTATTCCAATAAAACTTAACATATGGACACAAATTTCAGATTCACACAATTATCATGTATCACAGAATGCTATTCTTCTGGGCTTTTGGGAAACATTTAAAAATGCAAAAGCCATTTTTAGTTTTTCCCAGACCTTACAAAACCAGGCAGTGGGCTGGATTCACTCTGGCCTAGATCCTGGGGCTGTGGCCCAATGGCATTTTTGAAAACTTAACAACTAGTTACTGGAGAAAGTCAGGAAGTTTAGATTTTTATATTGGAACATAGATAACATATTTATCTTGGATTTATCTTGGATGCTACTAAATTTTGCCACCAATATGACTAAAACCATTCTAACACATTCTAAACACAATCTGCCTTAGTTTTGCATTTTATTTGCAATATGATTTTCTTGAGGCTTAACATATTATAAATGAAATTTATTCCAAGAGTATCTATTTTGGAACCTATATATAGCTTATTACTTGTTCTAGAAACTATGGTTCCACTTCAAAATATTCCATTTTAATGGTAGAAGAATTTATAGTTGAAAAGTTATTAGTAGTCCATGTGTTTTCTATTTCAAATATGATATATGAGCTCTCTATATATATTTAAATGTCTCCTGATTCAAAATAAATTAATCTATACACTATATGATTAAAGCATCCACATACTACTTCTGCTGAACTTCCTTCAGCATCAGTTCAGTCCAGTTCAGTCGCTCAGTTGTGTCCAATTCTTTGCCACCCTATGGACATCTAAGTTATTATTTTAGCAGCTATTATTGAATATTATTAAATATTGAATATTTAATAATATTCAATACTGATTAAGTAGTCCTGGTAGTGACCAGCATTCATCCTTAGACGTCACTAAATTAATCCAATCTTTCCTGAAGAGTATATTTTTCTATTGACGCAAAGAGTGGAAGTGCTTCAGAGACACTGACTCAAACTTGGATAATTATCTAGTTATTTCCTTTCCATTGGTAAGAAAAGCTTACTCATGATGCTGTTAACTTTGTAGTGGAAAAAAAAGAGAGCCACTTACATCCTTGGAATAGGAAATAGATTAGTCTCCCCTGCAGTGCTGCTGCTTCCTTCACTGTCCACGCTATACCCACTGCCAAAGCTGCTGCCCGAGGAGCCAGTGGACACGGAGCTTTCTGCAGGCCGCTGATTGCTGGGCTTGGCTGCATGGTGTGGGGAGAGTCAACGCCACAGTCAATCAATGAAACTCCAACTGACCTCCAAATGCAACTTAAACGTCTTTCTTCATTTACATCATAAAGAAACAGCTCTGCACCAATAACTTTCAGTGGCAACAGTAAAGCCCTCGATTGTTTTTGTTGGACAAAAGAGAAAACAAAATCACTTCTAGGGATAAATCGTCAGATTTTTAGACTGAGTTAAATATTATTATTATCTGTTGCGATTTATTTTTACTGTATTACAGTAATAATATGGCAAGAAAATAAGAATTGTGGCTATTTCATAGAGAAAAGCCTTTAGGAAGACTTGGGTAGATAGAAGTGACAGAATACGTGAAAATTGCTTCAATATTTTCCATATTAATAACCAGTAATTTAAGAAGTCAAGGTGCAAAATAGGTAATTTCAGGAAATGATTATAATTCTGGACTTGTTTGTATGCAGCTCTACCAACTGCCTCCAGCAGGTTTGAAAATTTGAAGATAGTTATTCCCCCTTAGTCATATCCTAGTTTATGAGTGGGAGTTGTTTTAAATAACCCATGAGTTTGATTTCTGAACATAAGAATTCATATTCCCATAGAAGAATTATGAATTTGTATTATAAATTATGCAGTAAGTGAATGGTAATGTTAGCAGAGTTCTAGATTAGAGATTTGGGAGGAAATTTTGATGCCAAAGAAATGAAGAGGAACAAAGAGTTTCCTATTTTTTGTGGGGGTTGGGGAGATGCTCTAGGCAGATTTTTGAAACTATCATTTTTCTTCTGCTGTGTGGTCAGAGTTTTAAGAGTGTGAGCTTTGATCTCACAGAATATAGTTTTGAATCCCCAATCCTGCTGAAGTAACTCTAGGAAGTCTGTTTCCTCATTTGACAATAATGGAGTCAATAAAGCCTCCCTCATAAAATGATGATAATGAGGAGGGAGATAAAGCTGGAATACAGTAACCCACACTTCTTTGTATTGTGATTTTCTTTGCTATACCCATCAGACCTCTTCTTCAGGGCTTTATCATCGATGGTTGTTTCCCAGTCTTTGAGAGTATCTGGTCCCTGACAGTGAATCCACCTTGATTCTCTTCTAGTTTTAGATGTACTCAAAGCTGCAAAACTACTTAGATTCTCTCTCCTCCATAAATACTCTTCTACTGTTTAGTTAGGAGTTTCTTAAGCAGTTGGATGGATCCACACCACTTGGTAAAGGGTTGATAATCTTTTAATGATCTTATATTATCAACATTTTTCTTAAGGAAATGTATAAAAGCACAATGGCAATCTGGCGGTGCTTTAAGCAGTATACCCAAATAAAATAGAAAACATAGATACTGTGAAGGAAATCATTTCAGGGCAGGAAACTCTATCAGATTAGCTAGGATCAAGTCTTTCAAAGGTTTTAAGTTTTTTTCTCACTTCTTCCCTTCCATTTCTGAACAAGCAGTTTCTCTAAAGCCACCAGAAATTTTCATACCATCTATTTCAGTGATAGTAGGATTCTTTTTCCAGAATATAGAAGGAAGAGATATTTGATAATTAGTCAATTATATGTCAGGTGTGTATTAAATTGGGAATAGCTAGTTAGAAAAGTGCCTGAATCTTAAGTAACCAGTCACCAGTGAATTAAGAGTAACACATAGGACTAGATTTCAAGAAAAAGAATAATAATCATAATGCTTGTTTAACATTCTCTTCGACTTATGTAGAAGAAACCTGGCTGATGTGTTAAAGACTTTTTAAAAGATAAAGTTATGAAATGCAAGGGTAATAGGACATATAAAATTATGAACACACTAAAGTAGATTAAACTGTATAGTCAACTGCATAGTGAGTCAGACAAGTCAACGGATTGTAAACAAGGAAAAGCTATCACACTTTTTGATTGTCAATAGATAATTCAACTAACTATATTGTTAATATTTTAGTATGATACTGAATGTAAGAAAGTGATTTCATCAACTGAAAATCCCAATATATTATTTTCAAAGACAAACCTTAATTAATAGACATTATTTTTAAATTCAGTTTACTAACTTAAAACTTTATTTTTTTAAATCCCTAGCAATCTCACAAATCTCACAATACATCAAAATATCCAATGATGTCTTATTATTTACATTTAAAAATATCTAATCTTTTCTTTGGCAAACTTTGATTTTTACCTGATGCAGTTTCTAACTCTAGTCCTCTTCTGGGATATTTGAGAAATGTGAACAGAATATGAAACAAAATAATCATAGGAAAGGAAAAAGGCTAGAAATAAATTTAAGGAAACAGTTTTTTCATATTGCCTAGGTGAATGGAAATTTCATGTGTAAAAACTATTAAAGTGTTGCCAATATTTTAAATGCAAACCAGTAATATTTAAACAAAGAAAATAAAATATAGGGAACATACACAAATTTCAGAATAAATTTCAGAACAGATTTCAGAAAAATAAATAAGTCCACCTTTGTAAAATGAAATTACATGTAAAGTTAAATCTAAAGAAATTTTGGGTATTTAGCTGAATAACTCAAATGAATCTATATGTTTGGTATTATTTTAATAAAAGTCTGTGCATGACTGCATTTTTTTCATAACCTGATGTAAATATAGAGACAGCTTGACATTTAGTTTCTGAAAATGAATTCAATATTAATGCAGAATATATCTTCCCTGTACAGGGCTATATCTTATGTTGCATAAAATGAGGTTAAAAATATAGAAATGCAGTTTTGATGAGCTGGTGCTGAGTCCAAATATTTTAATAGTTCCTTTTCAGTTACTTGAAACAACACATCTATTTACTAATTTTCTTTAATTGAATCAGCTCCCACATAAAAAACCATCAATTATATTAAACTAAATCTGTATTTCTGCAAACCTCCAACAGTAAGTTCTAAAAGCAATGAATAAAGTGCTTTAAGGACTTTCTATTAGAGGCCAGATTGTAATTTCAAGACATCTCATGATTCAGTCAAATTCTTGTTTGCTTTATCAAATCTGTTTCGTTTACCTTATCATCTGTTGTTTTCTACATGTACTTCTTATAATTTTCCTTTGTATACTCTTCACTGAAGCTCATTCAGACCACTCACTTTGAATCTCTATGATTTGGTTTTTCTTCTCCTGAGCTCTAGCCAAGTCTCTTTCCAATTTTGTTATACCTTCCTCTGACCCTGTCATTTTCTCTATCTAAATGATACTCATCTGGAAAGGCTCAGTTCAGAGAGAACCTGTTTCATACATCTCCCTCATCTTCACAATCAGAAGTGAACTCTCCTGTATCTAGACTCTCACAGCACATAACTTGTACACCTTTTACAGCAATAATCACTTTCTATATTTATTTGCAGTTGTTAGTCATGTGGTTATTGGAAGCAGAACCTACCTATGTTTGTTCCCTGGTAGCCTTCTTAAAAGCTTAATCCTGGAACTATGCTGAAGCAATATTTAATAAACTGATAGTAAAAATTATAATAATTATAATTTATTAATAATTCTTTCCTTTAACCAAACAGCTTAAAATATCTGAGTGATATAGAAGATTTCGCAATTTTTAAAAATCCAGTCAATCCCATGGATGGAGAAGCCTGGTAGGCTACAGTCCATGGGGTCGCAGAGTCTGAGTGAGTTCACTTCACTCTGTGTTGATACAAATCAAAAATATCTCATCAGAAACACCACAGTTGTTTTTTTTTTAACCGCATGTTCTTTGCCAATGAAACTTCGGGTGATCTAGTTTTTTGGTTAACATTTAAAATCAGAGATTCAACTTTAATCTGTCATACTGCATAGAAAAATATGATCACTTGACCAGATGTTTTGTCATACCAAATACCCCAAACTGGTTTGACTGAAAGAAATATTTAATGATAACACACAAAACAGGGGAGAGCATAGCCTTGTGAATTCATAACAGACCATGCATATTATATATATACACACACATATATATTTCTACACTGGAGTGACAGAATAATACATACGGTAACATTCCATGGGAGGTACTAGAGGGTGCTAACACAGATATTATTAGCACTTACGCTGACTGTAACTCTTGGTGTACAGATAGGAGGTAAGCTCTGGCTTATATTTCAGTAAAATGTCTTTCTACATTTCTTGTAGAAAATAATACTTGAAAACAGTGAAACTAAATATGACTTTTCATAATTTTATGATTTCAAAATTAACAGTTTAAAAAAATCTCTTCATTCTTCCAAATCTTTAACAGAATTTCAGAAATCATGTATTATGTACCTGTGTATTACATATGAAAGTATTTATTTTACATTAGGTTTGTGACTTTTTAAATAATGAAAAACATTTTTGGAGCCATTTTCTTAATGAATTATGTTTTGGGAAGCCTATTTTCTTTTTGAATTTTTACTTGTATTTTCAAGAACCAACTAGAAAAAAGAATGTATCAAATAAATATGTGATGGTATAAGTCTACTTCTAGAGAGAGGGTTCCTATATACACTAGAAGAATAAATACTAGCATGCTGAATCATTTTGGGACTCATTTATTGAAGGGGCATTTCAGGTAAATTAATTTTATCTTCTGTGAGGCAATTCAATCTGTTTTGAATTATTCTCTGACCTCTTCATTTTCTGAGGCTGCTAGATGGTTAGACATCATTTTGTTTGATTACTCCTCTGTGGCTAACCTTTATTAAATAGGGTAGTGTCTCTTTGACTGCCCATCTGTCTTCAATTAGCTTGCTCTGTTGATTTTCCCCTGTACTATATATACATCTTTAAAAAACGCAGAACTATCACTGTACCTACCACATGATGGCAGCACAGTGTTCAAAGTGTCAGATCGAAATTGTGGATGACTGTAACTGCACAATCATGGACTCTAAAATTAACTAGTTCCAGAACCATCATCTTGTTTATAGAAAAACTAAGCCCCTCTCCTTTGTTTCTTTTTTAAAAAATTTAAAGTTTAAGTGACTTTTTCCAGGTCACACATTCATTAATGAAAGAGAATCAAGACTAATC